TGCTGGTAGGCAGCTGGAGGTATGTTCTAGGGCTCATCCAGGTGGCCCTGGTGATACATAGGCTTGGGCAGTGTGAATCTGGGCCCCTGCTGTTGCTTCCCTGTTGTATAGCTACATCTCCTGCAGGGTGTTTGGTTAAGGGCCAGGGCCAGAGCTGCCTAGACTCGGTCTGGAATTGTGTGTGCCTGTACCTTACTCCTGGACACACTATGCTGTGCGGAAGGAATGCAAACAACAGCACTAGCCAGCACCTCTGATCCCAGAGTACATTCCAGTAGTTACCTTCTCAAAGTGGATACTTCTGTTCTGAAAATCAGGTTCTTTTACTTATGGTCTAGATGCACCTGAAACCACAAGGCCTTTTTCCTGTGCCAGCAGGGAATCTGCACCCAAGTCCCACACTGATCTCTCTCCCCTCTCCAGGTTGCTGTGCTGGGGTGGAGTTTCCACTATTATTGTCTTTGTCTCTCCTGCTGTTTTTTATATGATTTTTCTATTCCTTTTGTATAGAAGGTGTTCAGTGAAGCCTCAGTTCTTCTTCAGGATGAAGTGCTCTGTGTGTAGGTATAGATTTGGCATGTAGGTATATATTCATTGTATAAAGTGGGAGGAGGTGGGTCCAGACTCTTTCTTTGCAGCCATCTTATCACCTCTCTCCTTTCCATATTTTCTGTAAACCAAGTCGAATCAGACTTTCTGCTCCATACAACTGAAAGTCATAACTCATGAATCTTCTACTTTCTTTCATAGCACATTGCTGGAGCATTTTATCATAATTTCCTTAATGTCAGCCTCTTTCTCTAGACTCTAGTCTCCATGTGAACAGCGATAGCATCCCCTTTGTTTACAGCTGCATCCCCAATGACTAGAACAATGCCCTGACCCTGATAATGTATGGCTGAATAAGCAATCCAAGCCAAGTATTTTCTTAGCCATATTCCTAACGAGTTTCAGAATTTAACATTATGGAGCCATTTTTATGTGCATGAGAGAGATCAGGAGATGTCAAAATGATAATACTTATATATATATTGTAATGCACTTAAATGTATATAGTAGTCATTTTCCACAGAATTAAAGATTGCCAATGATCTTTAATTTGAATGAAATAGAGACCTTTTAGTTGGCTGTGTGAGCTTGGGCAGACTATTTCTCTAAGCTTCAGTTTGTTTATCAATGAAAGGTGCTCACCTCAAGGCAGGTAGCGTAGATAGCAGCCTCTCAGTAAGAAGTCCAATTAATACGCAGGAACTAACCCGATAATCAGAGAAGGGGGAACATACAGTCAATTCAAAATCCAAGTGCTTGAGTGGACTAAAGCAAAGGCCAGGGCTGCATAACACTGACATTTTTATTAGAATTCATTTGTAACAAATGGAACTTGTGTCAGCAAAGAACTGATTTTCATACAGACTTCTTTCGCCACCAATGTAACGAAGTAAGAAAATAAAAAGCACGCCTTTCATTCTGTAAAACATTTACGCGTACTACTAATTAGAGGTAATTGTATTTTTTAACAAGCCATTTTACAAGTTATGTTTTTAAAGTTTTCAGTCTATGCATCCAAAACAAGAGCAAAGAACACAACTGTTATTATCTTTGTAAAGACACTCCAAGCTTGGATGGCAAAGCCACATAACTGATGGATAAGATGAATCTGTAGCCTTCTGATCTCTGCTGGAGTATCAGGGCACCCATAAACCCAAAAGAAACTAAAATCCAAAAGACAAGGAAATTCAAAATAAAAAAGAGGGAGTAAAACAAAGCAAAACCAAAAATAGGAAAGAAAAAATGTCTGAACATTTCAGATTTTTTTCTTTTCCTGTGTCTATGTTGTGTTATTTACATACAAATGAATTTTTGAAGCAGTTTTCTTACAGATGGGTTCAAGTAATAACATTATTGGGTGTAGAATCAATAGGGCAGTGCATAGTACAAAGGTATAGAAAGTGCAAAGTTCCCTAGAGGCCCTTCCCTCCCCTGGCTGTCCTCGCCGTTGTCAAACCATGCAAATCATTTTTAAAAAAGAGCTAAAATAAAGTTCTGTACAAATCACTTTTTTATATATTTTGATTTTTTTACCATTGTAACTAATTACAAAATTATACATAACTACACATACATAGGTAAATAATAGCACCGTACTGGTTATGGTGATGAAAATAATTGGAAACTTGAAAGTTCGTGGTAATGGTAGAAAAAGATGTTTACCTGGGAAAATAAAACTAGAATGGCTGTACAGAAAAGCACAGAGTGGAATGCACATCAATGACAGTAAGGGAGTTAGTTCTTGGAACAGCTTCTGAACAGTGAGATATCTGGAATAGTCTCCGCCTCTGTTGTCTATGGCATGCATCCCATTCATTTTCTTCTTGTGATTGTTCATCTCCTTCCCTTTGCCAAGTGGGCAGCTTTTGTTTCAGGAAGAGAAACTGCTCACTGGACAATGGTTCTGGTGTGCAGTACACCATCAGATTCTCCATGTTCAACGTGTCACATCTGCATGTCTGACCCCCTTTGTTTCACTAATGAAAATTATAGCACTGAGTAATCTGGCACTTGGATAAATCTCCAAAAACTAAAAGAAAACAACAGACCCACATAGTGCACATTCTTCTCTGGTTCTGATGTATGTTAGAGAGTCTCATTCTGAGGTAGCCTTCTAGATACTTTTTTTTTTTTTTTAGTATTTTTTTTTCTACTTTTTTTCTTTTTTTAAATTTTCTTACAAAAGTGCTCAAATACGATGTTGCAAGTGTTTGGTCTCTTGGATTTCATTCTTCTAATGATGAGAAAATGTGGAAAACCAAAATCCTTCTTTGTAGAACATCAACAAAGCTAAAATTAAACCAAAATATTATAACTAAAGCAAAACTCTTTAAGAGTTCATTGGATATTTTGAGGATTCTTAAAAATCATGTAAAAGATATGGTGACTTATGCCATCATCCATGGCTTCCTATAGAAATTATGTTGGAAAATTTGGGAGAATATACATACATATATATATTTATAGTTTTTCATGTTTAATTTCCTTTTTTAAGAAAATACTAATGGAATATTAAATATATTCCAGAGTTGACAATGATGTTTGCTACTAAAATAAGTTTGGTGCAGTTACTGAATGTTCCAGAGCAGATTTGGAAGGGATTATAAATAAAATGTAGCTTTTCCTGATGTTGACAATTCTGAAAGGAAAATGGGCCCTGATTATCCAAGTGCTTTGGGCCGGTACAATCACTAACATCCCCAACTTGGTTAAAAACTAGGAATGCATATTATTCAAAGAGTTTTGTACATGTGGTAAACAGATAATGCTTTAATTGGAAGAATAACATATGAACAACTAATGGAAATAATAGGAACCAAAGGTAAAAAGAAATGCTATATTAAAATAGGCATCAATTATAAGGCACTCTAAATGCAAAACTAAACCAAAAGAAAACAAAGTACAGCACTTCCCAGGAATGCTGTAGGCCACAAAATGTTTGTTTGAACAGAGTAACATGAGTTTGGCTTTGCCCCTGTTATATATCATAAATGCAAATTTCATAGCACATACTATAGACAATATACGATTGAATACACTGTTTTTTAAACAACTTGATAGCTGATATATTACAACATTCTCCCCTCCTAAAGGGATATGCACTGACCTTTCCCACATGCACACCTCTTAGATATTTAATAATTTTTTATTGCACTAGAGTGTTAGACATGTTGAACTTTGTAGGAAGCCTGGCTAACGAAATGTTATTTGTGAATGTGAGTAGGTGGGTGGGGGGGAAATTGGGTAAGAAATCAGGGGGTGAGGTTTGACAATCACTGATGTGCATTCGTCATTTCCCTTAACAAATTAAAATTTGGGGATATTATTAAGAAATACCAAAAGATGTCAAAGTAACAAATTGAAAAAGATGTTTAAAGAGCTTTTCTACCTTAAGACAAAAAAACAAAAAACAAAAAACAAAACCCTAAATCATGGAAGAACTGAAGGCTAGCTATATCTATCTTTTCTGTATGGACACACTGTCTGTCTATATATACATAGATGCCCCTATAAAGTACGGATATCTATGTATATATGTTAGCAGCAACTTTATACTTTGCGCCTCCCTGTTGATTCCAAAATCAAAACAAACAGTTATCATCAATTATTTGAAGACAATGGGTATTTTCTCACCAACCAAAACCCAACAGAAGTGTAAAAGTAACATGTGACGGGACTGAGAGTATAGATTAAGAATATTGCACAAAAATGTGCAAATTTTCAAATTATTTGATATTTCTACACAAGAGATTACAGATAAACAGTTCTACAGCTTAAAAAAACCTACAATCTGGAAATAAAAAATGAAGAGTTATGTAACTTTTTTAAAATTCACTTTTATCGAATGATACATTCTGTTAAAAAAAAGTTTACACAGTTAAAAATGAAGCACAGGTCAGCAGTATCTTTACAATACTAAAAAACTAAATCAAAGACTTTCTTTTTAAACATTCCCTCCTCCTTTCCCCCTAAAATGTTATTATGAGCAGTGTGGTGGGAAGGGGTGACGTTGAAGCAGAGTCCGTTGTATTATGAGTAGCCACATGGGCAGATGCCTGGCAGCCCTCAGACATTTCTCCTCGTGTCTTCCGAGCAATCCTGAATAAGACGGTGGTTCTTTGCTGTGATTTCTTCTTCCCTCTGTTTTGGAATCCTTGAGGTTATCTGCAAATAAGCTCCTTCAGATGCCTCATCAGTCAGGATTCACATTATTATTTTTCAGGTTAGATTATTAATGATGTTTGCTACTAAAATAAGTTTGGTGCAGTTACTGAATGTTCCAGAGCAGATTTGGAAGGGATTATAAATAAAATGTAGCTTTTCCTGATGTTGACAATTCTGAAAGGAAAATGGGCCCTGATTATCCAAGTGCTTTGGGCCGGTACAATCACTAACATCCCCAACTTGGTTAAAAACTAGGAATGCATATTATTCAAAGAGTTTTGTACATGTGGTAAACAGATAATGCTTTAATTGGAAGAATAACATATGAACAACTAATGGAAATAATAGGAACCAAAGGTAAAAAGAAATGCTATATTAAAATAGGCATCAATTATAAGGCACTCTAAATGCAAAACTAAACCAAAAGAAAACAAAGTACAGCACTTCCCAGGAATGCTGTAGGCCACAAAATGTTTGTTTGAACAGAGTAACATGAGTTTGGCTTTGCCCCTGTTATATATCATAAATGCAAATTTCATAGCACATACTATAGACAATATACGATTGAATACACTGTTTTTTAAACAACTTGATAGCTGATATATTACAACATTCTCCCCTCCTAAAGGGATATGCACTGACCTTTCCCACATGCACACCTCTTAGATATTTAATAATTTTTTATTGCACTAGAGTGTTAGACATGTTGAACTTTGTAGGAAGCCTGGCTAACGAAATGTTATTTGTGAATGTGAGTAGGTGGGTGGGGGGGAAATTGGGTAAGAAATCAGGGGGTGAGGTTTGACAATCACTGATGTGCATTCGTCATTTCCCTTAACAAATTAAAATTTGGGGATATTATTAAGAAATACCAAAAGATGTCAAAGTAACAAATTGAAAAAGATGTTTAAAGAGCTTTTCTACCTTAAGACAAAAAAACAAAAAACAAAAAACAAAACCCTAAATCATGGAAGAACTGAAGGCTAGCTATATCTATCTTTTCTGTATGGACACACTGTCTGTCTATATATACATAGATGCCCCTATAAAGTACGGATATCTATGTATATATGTTAGCAGCAACTTTATACTTTGCGCCTCCCTGTTGATTCCAAAATCAAAACAAACAGTTATCATCAATTATTTGAAGACAATGGGTATTTTCTCACCAACCAAAACCCAACAGAAGTGTAAAAGTAACATGTGACGGGACTGAGAGTATAGATTAAGAATATTGCACAAAAATGTGCAAATTTTCAAATTATTTGATATTTCTACACAAGAGATTACAGATAAACAGTTCTACAGCTTAAAAAAACCTACAATCTGGAAATAAAAAATGAAGAGTTATGTAACTTTTTTAAAATTCACTTTTATCGAATGATACATTCTGTTAAAAAAAAGTTTACACAGTTAAAAATGAAGCACAGGTCAGCAGTATCTTTACAATACTAAAAAACTAAATCAAAGACTTTCTTTTTAAACATTCCCTCCTCCTTTCCCCCTAAAATGTTATTATGAGCAGTGTGGTGGGAAGGGGTGACGTTGAAGCAGAGTCCGTTGTATTATGAGTAGCCACATGGGCAGATGCCTGGCAGCCCTCAGACATTTCTCCTCGTGTCTTCCGAGCAATCCTGAATAAGACGGTGGTTCTTTGCTGTGATTTCTTCTTCCCTCTGTTTTGGAATCCTTGAGGTTATCTGCAAATAAGCTCCTTCAGATGCCTCATCAGTCAGGATTCACATTATTATTTTTCAGGTTAGATTATTAAACTGTGAATTCTTGGTCCACCGGAAGAGTTTTTAATTTTTTGTGTATAATAGTCCCACTAAGTGGTTGTTAGCTAGAAGTTAAGAAGGACTTCTCAAGTGCCCTGTATGGCTCAGAAGAGACTCCATGGATATTGAAGGGCCTGCAGTAAAAATCCAAAATGAGTCAGGGGTTTCTACGTTGCATAGTGATCAAAGCTGCCCAGGTACTCTAGTGCGGCTCGATAGCAGAACTGATACTGATCCTGCAGGGGACAAAGCGTGGAGAGAAAGAGAAGGCACTGTGAGTGGATTTTCATAGAAACAGGATAATCAGTATGTAAAATGACATTTTTCTGATCTCCCACAGTGGTTCCACAAGCAGGGAAAGCCACGCACACTGCAGAGGCCTACCCGCCCAGGACAGACGCCGGCCAGCCGTTCTCGTCTGGCAGCACGGCTGCCACAGCACCTCACCCACGGCCGAGAAGAGAACCCACCTTGGATGTTGGAAGATGGCAAGACTGCACAGGAGTCTGGTTTTTCACATCCTTGATAGAATCCTGCAGCAAAGTGAGTAACGATCCTTAACCTTGCCTTCTCACACACACATAGCACCGGAATGTGCAAAAACGGTTCTTTTAGGACACTAACCATATGCATCCTCAACACACTGCTCTGAAATGTGGACTAACATATCCCTGATTGTAAAAAGGTAAGTGAACTGTTCTTAGACAAAGGGCTGATAGAACAGTCCGATCAGAAGTCTTTCTCTGCTTAACTGTTTTCAGGCCATGGTCCTATATTCTGTCTTTCTTAATAGCTGTACTGATTTCTCTTGACAATTCTTGGCTACCATGGAGGGACCCAGAACAGACAGCCTGAGACCATCAGCAAGGCCCTTCCTTGAGCCCAGCCAGCAGCTGGGAGGTCTGGCAGCAGCAGGGTGAGTCTTTTCCTGGGACTTGGACATCCCGTTTTTGGCCCCTGAGTTTATTCAGTAGTTAACTCTGAGAGGTAAGTGGTTTTTCAGTAATAAGTCACAGGAAAAGGATTTCTGAATAATTATAAAAGGAGCTCTCACTCTGAAATGACCAGGATGGGGCACTTGTTATTTGCCAAGCTACTGATCCTGCATAATGCAAGACTAAATCACGTGAGTGGGATACATGTCGTGATTGGTATTTAGAAATATTCAAAAGGGGGAAATAATCTTTTAGGAAGTCAAGCACACTATCTTGCAGCACAAAACAACTATGGTACTGGAAGTGTGAATATCTAGCAAAAATGGCAACCTCTTACTAAGTTTGTTTTGTGTCCTGAGAACTTGGCTTAATAATGTCCAGGTTGGGAACGCTATGGCTGAACAAAAATATGGGCTAAACTCCATTTACTGTAGGGTTCTACCAAACTGCTGCCAGTTCTTAAACAAATTACAACCTAATTCCAATTATATAAAATCACTTCAAAAAAGCACTTAATAATAGCAAAGGCTTTTAAATGCCAAAAACATTAGCTTTATTAGGAGTTTTGTCACAAAAGCTGATAAAAAGGATAAGAAACAACTTTGCATTCTTTCTGCTTTGATGTCATAAATCTTGTCCTTGAAACGTAAATATAGCCTACCATCACCTAAGACTGAAAAAAAAAAGGAAAGATCCCTTTTTAAAAATACAAACTGCCATAGAAGCACCTTTGCCTGAAAATCTAGCCCATGGCTTCTAAGGACAAATACAAATCCTTAATGTCCTCTCCATGAATATTAATGCAAGCTTTGGCCACCTGGGCAGGTTACCTTATTTCATCTACCAGAAAACAGTTTGAATCTGTTCTTTTTATTAGTGAATATTAATTATTTCATGGCTACCTCTCTCATGCTTAAAGATTTTTAAACAATAACTATTAAAGTCTCTGTTAGCATCTGTCTTTGTGTCTGTATCTTATAAGTATAGAATAATAGTTTCTATTTCTGGATGGTATTACTAAAATCAATTTGTAAAAGATCTTTAAAGACAAGCATGTGTCAGGATTGGACATTCTAAATCTCAGAAATATAATAGAAACTAATCCAAATGTTTTTGAAGTTCATGTGATCTGGGAAAAGATTTGCTATTAAAATCAAGGTTAAGGTTATGGGCTTACTTAAATAGAAGTGTGGTATCAACATTTAAAAATGAAAATTTGTATTCTGCCTGATTTTTCTTAAAGTCAAATGTTACAGAATGTTTTAAAAATAGCTTGAAAAATGAATGTGAAGTTTTTATAGGTAATTAAGTAGATTGAATAGATGTAAGATAAACATAAATGAACTTTCCAATGATATTTTTGTGTTAATGGTATGTCCATCTAAATAGGTTCCAAAAAATCTCTTTGGTAGCCTTTACCCTTAAAATTTTGCTAGGTTGAATTAAATGATGAGAATTCATTAAATATGAATAAAAACAAAATACTGAAACATTAATTTACCAACAGAATAAGAAATTCAGATACATAACCCTTATCTCGGTGAGTTTGTACATTGGAAAAGTCCCCAATTGAATAAGAAATTTCTTGCAGCCCAAATGCAAAAGACCTTTCCAAGTCCTCTTAACTTCTTGTGCAGCAAAATTGTAGGATGTTGACTCCTGTATCCATGTTTCTCACTTAGAAACGGTGTCTACTATGGAATGGTCTACAGAAAGAATATCATAGCCAAGACTGAAACTGCATTAGTTAGACCAGGACAAGAGATGCTGACAGCTTTGCAAGAGTCTTACCCAGGCTGGAACTCCAGCTGATCTTCTCGATTTCCTTATGGGACTGATGGTGACCCATACACCTGCCCAATCCCCTTATTTCTAGAACCCCAAAGAAACTCAGATGATATTTTGGGGAAAAGCAAAACTTATGGGAAATAACAGAAGGAACTTGTTACTTAGCCTGCTGCCCTCTAACAACATTGGTCCTTAAATTAAATCCATGAGAGGCCCATGAACTAAAACAGCTAATAATGGGAATAAAATGCATCCTTCCCATGGAGTATGAGCCTGTCTTAACTGAGAATGGCACCTCACCTCGATGGGATGCCATCTGTCCTACATTGTGAGCAGCACAAAAGAATTTGGCTGTGCCCGCAGGACCATAGAGATAACAGTGCATAGACTGTTCTTCTACCACACTAACTGAATGGATCCTTGGTACACTGCTCTTATGTGTTGATTAAAGTATCCCTGGCTGTAAAAAGGTATATGAACTGTCTTCAGACAGAGGATCTGATGGAAGAGTCTGATCAGAGGTCTGTCTCTGAACAACTGTTTGTGAGTCATGGTCTTCAGTAAGACTCAATATAAACTACATTTCTTAGTATAATAGTTGCATTGACTTCTGTTGACAAATATTAGAAAACAAAGTTAATGCTAGATGGAGGCAAAATTAATTACTACTTTCATCAATTAATTCAATGGCCAGTGGCCAATTTCAGTAAGCAAAGGACCATTAGCCACAAGGGGTATTTATTAACTTTACCAATCAATTTGACTAGTTTCCCAGTTCTGAAGTAATGACAGAGAGAGCATTATCTTCCAAACAGATGTGAACTGTTCAAGTAATACCCATTACCACCACTGAACACATGAGCTCCTTATACGTCACAGAAGTCTTTTCCAATTATCTGCTTATTCGTGATAACTAATTATTTTGTTTGCATAGAGAGGCTAATGCATGATTGTCCTGAGGTAAAGTTGGATTCATTTATTTTCTAGGCTCTTGACAACAGAATTTGAATTATCAAAAATAATAATAAGATCAGACAGTAGACCTTGCTGCCTGCACTCAGAATTACCACCATCAGTTCTGATGTTCTCATGTAAATAAGAGAGGCAGTCAAAAGGTATCTGGTAAGGAACATAAGCCACACAAAGCCATTTACACAGGACACTCGGCTTTCAAGTTTCCCACTCCCTGGAAATGTCATCACAAGACTGGTTGCCCATGTCAAAAAATACCGGAGCTATTTGGCCTAATCCAGTGTGACTGCTAGTCTGTTCTGGAAAGGTCCAGACTAAAATAAAAATGTCATGTAACATGTCCGGACAGGGAAGAACATTGTCATATTGGAGTAAGTAATAGCATTGTTGGAGAGAAGGAAAAATTATAATTTACAGATGCGAAGGGATGAGAAGAAGTGATTTTCCCATAAAAGAAACTTATTTTCAGTAGCCAGTGGAGCTGAAAGTAGATAGTTTCTATTTTGCTTAAATGGGCATTTTTCTAAAACAAAAATGGTAATGCAAATTAAATGGAGTTTGCTTTCCTATCTTGTGACAGTAAGTTGCTTGGCTAAGTGTTAAGGCTTTTTAAATGTCCAATAGTCCTCTGTCACCCCCCAAAACCCATTAGGTTTGTCAGGCTGACATAATGTTTGGAGTACTGCAAGCCAAATGTTCACACTATTTTGAAATCAAAGACGAAGATACTGTGGTGAGGAATTTAGGAATACATGTAAATTATATTTTGATAAGCAGAAACACTATCATAAGATCCTTAGAAATGAATAGTCAATAGGCCAGACTGGATAAATCATGAACTCACATTATTCTGAGAAATAATGAGAATTTTCGTATCAATTATTGGAATAAAAAAATGGGGGGTTAATTTCTTTAAGGCTTATCTAGGATCCAAGTATTTAAAATGACCTTTACTAAGAAATGAAATACAGAGAAGTTGATGTCTAATACCTAAGCATATAGAAAGAGAATGTGCCTGAGGGATATTGTGCTTTGTCTACATATTTACATATAAATATATACAATATATATTATGTATATAGTGAATATGAAATTGCCATTTTTTATAGTTCACAAATGGTCAAATAGTGACAATTTAACATGGATTAAGCTAATATAAAAATCTCATATAACTTCCAAAACAACTCTAAGACACTATCACTTTCATTTAAAAAGGGGGAAAATGAGGTTCAAAAACATTAAATGATTTGATACTTTTCCTACAGTATTTTCCTGTATTTTGCCTCTAGTACGGAGAGTCTGGATTCTAGGAGGGTCCTATGTAACAAAAGCTATTATTTGGCTCTTAATACACAACAAACACATGGAGATTTTTCTCACCTCTGTCTGTACCATGGCTGGCCGTTGTGTTCTTAACATTTTGACAGTCTGGAAGATATCTACAACGCCTTCATATCTCATTCTTTCCAAAACAATGCTTAGTGTTATGAAGACTCCAGTTCTTCCAACGCCCGCACTGTCACGATAACAAAAGCAACAGGATTGGATAAGACATGTATAGTCTTGGCCACATTTGCTTGGGGGTGGACTTATGTCCACCAGCTTCCAAATTACATCAGACTGTTCCCCAGAAATGCTCAGGAAAATGTGGTGTTGGGTTCACAAAATGAGTACTCATGAGATATTTTGTCATGGAAACATGTGAGAATCAATGTGGAGTAATTAGACTTTCCCATCTCCCAGACATATAAATAAATGATAAGGTATATAGACTATTTGAATGTAGACATTAGTTTTGATATGTGAGAAGATCTTCAGGAGGGTCTGTGACTATATTATATATAATGGTTGCATTTATATTTTTTGTTGTTTCCTGAAACATAAATTTCAACAGATTCTCAAAGGGGTCTCTAACCTAAAAAAAAAAGCAACAAAAAACAGTTGAGAGTTACTGTGCTATATACTTATCTACTATTATTAGATGTTCAGGACCTAAAACACCTAAAACACTAGTATTCTTTCCACTATGTTAGCAAGGTTTTGCATTTCTTTCTATTTTGTTTATTGTTTTAAGATAACTCCAGAATTTTCACTGCAGCAAGAGAAGAAATTTAATTCATAGCTTTTGTGTTCTTAAGAAGTAGAAAAGCATCTGGAGGTTTAGGTAATGAAGAGAAGAGTGAATAATCTGAAAAATCCCTACATTTTTAGATCCTAATTAAACAGCATGTGTAACGCTTGGGTACAGGCTGTAGAAAATGGATGGATTCATTTACTTGGGGATGTAGCTGACAAGCATATATAAATAGTGTGTCCCTTTATAAACTGGATTTTCTACAGCGTCCAAACAGAAATGCCAAGTGAGGTTTTAAAATCCACAGGCAGTCTTTACAAAGTGGCTGAAGATGTCCAGCAGGGTCAAGGCTCTCTTGCTAGAATGGAGTAAATGACTTTGAAGGTCCCTCTCAACCTTGAAAGTCTCCATTAATCCTGAGAGACTATAATTTATGACCTTTTTGTTGAATGGTCCAGGTATTCCCAGAGTTTACCTAACTTTGACTTGATTGTCAGATGTAGCAGAAATAGAAGGTTCCTGGCTTTCTATTAAGTGCTTTCAAGAAAATAACAGACCTGGGCCTTTTCACTTCTGAATTTACTGACTTTATCATATTAGTGTAATTAGTTATTAAATAAAGTAAGTGGGATATTTCCAGATAAAATACTTAGAAGCCTTATATCTTATATATACAAACACACACACAAAATACATGAATAACTTGTCATAGCATTTATACCAAAGGAATGTTTAAATCATTTTGTGATGACAAAAGTGATGAGAAGTGACATGCACACACTTACATACTCATGGGAATACCTCAAGTTAAAAATATGTATTAAATGAATTCTATTCTTTATACTTGAAAAGTTGGAATTAGCATTTGGGCAAATTATGTGCACTATTAAGAGGAGTATCCAGGTAATTCAAGCCCCATATATACCATCCACTTTGAATATCTGTATCCATGTGTCATTTCCTATGTGCTCTTTAGTTACCTAAAGTAAATGATTTTGGATAACTCAACACAAAGCAAATGCATATAAATAAAGTTCTCTTCTCATAATATATCACACCTGGAAGACAGTGTGCTAAAGAGGATGGTAGAGACAGGCTGAGAAAATGGAGCTCCATAGAAAAGCCCCTTCTGTCACAGAGCTACATGATAACAGAAGTGAAACTTGAAATCAAATATCTTGAAGCCCGAGTCTAATATTCTGTCATTTTGAGACCCTGTCTCCCATGTCACTAAAAACTATAGGTTGGGGCATTTTTTTAAAAAAGCAAAATAATTTGTAAATAAACTTTTCAAGATTTTGACCGTAAGAGGTTAGAAACTGAGAAGTCCAGTTACTAGAATCCTAAAATATTTAATTTAAATAAAATTAGGCAAATTCCTTTTGCTGGAAGGGTTTCACATAGTAACTTCCAAAAGCACTAAATTTATGGTGAGTGTCCTTTCTGAATGTTTACTTGCCATTTCTATTAACTTCAATGACTTGAATTATGCTGTGGAAACTATTGAAAATAATTAACTTGAAGGTGCTTCATTTTCTGATACAGTACCAATTTTCAAGCAAATTTTAATTTTAACTGAGGTAGCATTCTAATCACTTATTGACTGGCAAGAATTAGTATTGTCATTAAAGCTTGATAACTATTTATGATTTTCCCAAGAACACAGGAGAACAATACAGAAAGTTATCAGTGTGATGCTTGTAATGCTATGAAAGCAAAACAAGTTAAGATGATTAGCTAAACAAATTATCACTAGGTGATATACTAATTAATTCCTATTCAAGTAAAATCACAGTTTGGTGTTTTGTTACAAGAGGTAAAATTTGGGCATAAATATCTTCCTCTGATTATTTTCATTTTATGGAAAGAAAGAGAAGTAAATCCTTGGCTTTAGGTTGTACAATACCTTTCTGAAAATAAATCTTAAATTACGCAGATTCACTATAATAAGCCTGTACTGAAAATGAATAGATAATAATGCACATTTTTAAAATGACTATAACATTAATCCCAGATGGAAATTCATCATTCTTGATTCTTAAACTCACCTGCAATGGACTGAAATGGGTCCATCTTGGCCAAACTGCTCTTTTGTTTTATGGACTTGGCCAATGAAGTCAATGAATCCTTCTCCAGACTTAGGCACTCCTTGCTCTGGCCAGTCAGTGAACTGGAACTGCCTTACTGTTCGGGACTGACCGTCCTTTAGAGAGAAAGCCACAGACCCCGCCACAAAGAAGGACACCAGGAGGATTCGGCCAGTGCACAGACCACAACAGCAAGAAAGGTTATTTTTCCAGAAAGTGGGGGGGGGGCGAAAAAAAAGGGAAGGATAAGGAATATGTTTAACTGGAAACTTATTTATATTCATGTCTTGCCTATGATCAACATTGTCTACATTCACACATATGTAAATTGTAAACTTACTTCCTCTCACAATGCCCAGTTACAAACCTGGGTTCTCATATAGTAAAGAGCCATTTAGTTTCCATATTAGTAAATGCTTCTGAGACCCAAAGTTTGCTTTCAAAACCAGAGTGGAACATACATACTTCATTAAAAAAATTTCAAAATAACTTTTTAATATTGAAAAGAGCATCCACACATGTCATCCAGACCAGAGATGCTGCTATTGTGCTGATAACTTCACATTTGCTGTGCTTATTTCTAGCCTTGTTAAATGACACTGAAAGGGTGTGACACAGACTGGGTGGCTGCTGTTAACCTAGAGGCCCTATGCATCTCAAAGACATACATGAACTAGCCATGGTAGGGTACACGGTGTGTGCCATGTGACTATGCTCTTGAGCAGAAGGTGGGGTGTCCCTCAAGGGGATCAGAGAGATTATTAGCAAATTAATGTTTTATTCTGCAAAGGGGCCCTTCCCAGCTAACCACAGAAATTAAGCCATCTCTGCGGGACTTTAGTGCACAGTCAAACCAAAGGCAGAATGAAAGCAAGTTAGACGCAAGAGGAGTTGTTTTTTCTAAAGCGATTAGGCAAAATTCCTCTGACTCATGAAGTGTAAATAGTCTGGAAAGAAGATACAAGGCACTTCTGATTCCTTCTCGAATTCTATAGCATTTTTGGAAACACAGCAAATGCAGAAAGGACCCTCTGTTTATAGAAGCAGGACAATTGTGCCCATCAACTTTCCCCCCTAAATCAACAGAGGGAGAGAATTCAAATTCCAAGCTTAGAGGGACTGATCCCATTGGAAGATGCCCTGCTCTCAGTTAAGCTTCAGCTTGCTCCTCCTCCCCATTTTTGTGACTCCTCTTTTCCCATTAAGCCTTTTTGGATAGGATGTGCATATTTCCAAGATTCGGTATAAGTAAACAAAGGCCCAATCTTTCTCATTCAGTCATATTGAGAAGACAGGGTAGCTCAACTCGAGATAGGCACACATCAACCAGCCTGGGAGTGGTTTCCACAGGAACAGGGCCTATTCCTGACTGACATTATTTGGGGATGGAGACAAAACACAAAGACCACATCAACTTTGGGAGAACAATGAGGTATATGGAAGCAACCACTTGGCCCCGTAACTAACGAATGGATGGTTACCATGGAAGCATGATTGACTTCCCTCTGTTTCTAGAAACAGTTTAGAAAGCAAAGGAAGGGAAGCCAGAGGCTAGGTAATGCAGATTTGTCCTATTCTGAATGTCCTGGGGATTTCATTTCTGACCACAGTTGCTTTTAACAGTAAGAGAAGGTCATGTGCAGAGACCTTTACTGTTCAAGGAGAGACCACCTGACTCCATTTAAAGGTTACCTGTTTAACAATGCTGTATGCTCAGGTACTAACTTGCTTTCTAAACTGGGATGTTGAGATTAAAAACACAACAGGAGCTCAAACATCAAATGCTACGGCAGCTAAGAAAATTATACAATCACAGGGAGCCTTAAAAAAAATAATAACCCACAAAGAAACATGTGAACAAGTTCCTGCTTCAATGTTTCCATTGCTTATTGTGACCAGATTTAATTTTTGCAAGTGAGGAGTAGTAAGGAGGTGGGTTTTTTTTGCCTTTGTAGAGCCTGGCTATTAGTCTTGATTATCAGAAATATGATCAAGAAGGTGAGTTAGCTTGGAGTGCACCTCCCTATCTACCTTCAGATTCTAAAAGGGCATTTTTTTTTTAACAACAGGGCAGGTCACCAAGGCAGGCTTACTTGAGCACCTCCAAAATGAGACCCAGGGACTTAACTGACACCTTGAGTATAGTCACTTTCAGAGTAGTTGAGCCTTCAGACTTTCTGGGATTAACAGGTCTGTCACTTGGGCCAACCAGGCTGCTAACCAATTCCTCTTTCACTTTAGGTCAACGGCCAGGGCATGACTTTGGGGATCAGCAGACTATCTCTAAACATGAGGACTGGTTGAGAAAGCTGCTTTCCAGGAAAAACAATGGATCAAGGAGAATAGCTCTGCCCTGGAGTTTTATTCAACCCACCCTCTGTGACAGTTCCAAAATAAAACAGGGCTTTGGACTGACCCCATGCTCTCCTAAGATGTGTTTTAATCATGCTTTGAAAGTGGCCAAAGGCAAGGATATTCAAGTTTATGCATAGAGCATCTTACATCAGGGCTGAACCTTGGACTCAGCAATCTAGATATGAAAAGCAGAAAGAAAATTAGCCAGCAAGGGTCGTGGGTACAGAGTGCTCATGGACAGACACATTAGCACACCAAGGAATAAAGCATGCCAGGAATCAAATTAGAATGTGCAAAGCTTGTCAGATTCTTCTAAAGAATGCCATTTGCTCTGCAGTTTTAAAATCATACCAAATTAACCTCCAAGCCCACATGACCTAAAGGGCTTCACAAAACAACAACATATTTACAGCTTCACGTAATGAAGAAGTCAAAAAAGACTCCAAAGAGAATGAGCTGAGAAGGTGAATGCAAAGCACAGCCAACCAGTAAATGCTTCTTAACACGTGCACTCACCAAGTGCATCCCTGACATTGGCCTGCCAGATGTTACATTTGAATGAAAGCCAAGCCTGGGTTTCTAATAACATTTGCCAGACTAGGAAAGGTTACTCTTATATTGAAAAAAAAAGAAGTCCTCCAGGATGGGTGATTTCCTTTTCACTTTGGGAGTCTGGTCCCTTGGCAAATGTTTCTCCCAGAGATGCATTTTAGACTACTTTTAAGCTAATGGTTTACAGCGTAAGACTGTGCCAACTTACCCTGGCATCTGTGACCTTGAATTCTCTTAGGATATACTGAGGCATATTGTACTCCGCCATGGGATCTACAACAAAGTATTGGTATCTTGCAGATCGTTCTGCTGGCCAATATTGGTGACATTTCTCCTAAAAGGAGAGAAGATTAATGTCATACTATACAAAGTATAAAGTTTTGTCTATCATCTGTCTCTATATATTTCTATTTCATTTCTTTCTCTCATTAATAAAATTCTAAAATTCAAGACCATTCCAATTGCACATGACTACTTTTTTCTTTGAAATCATAGTTCCCTGAGGACAGGGAAATCATGTGGTTCAATATTTTCCCATGGGCTCAAGCACAATTCTTGGCACACGGTGGGTGCTTACACTACCTCAGTTGAATTGAATACCACACTAGGCTAAGCACCTTTCTACAAATTATCCACATAATTACATCAGCCCTGGGACATACAAATGACCATGGCAGTCATGCATTAGCTCCACCATAATCGACTTTCACCATTGTGGTTTGGAATGAAGAAAGCCATCAAGAGCAAACATAGAAACTTCTGAATCGATCTGCTCAGTCTCCCTTGTCAGCGGAGGCAATGGGCCTGAGTAGTTTCAATGACTTGGTTATGTCTCAGAGAGTCGCTGGCTGAATCGAAACAGTCACGTTACTTTCCTTGTTTGGAATTTTCTTGTTCTCTCTGTGGGGTCTAAAAGGCGAGTTTTAGATGCACTCTACCATTTAAACTGTACAAAGAAGAAAGAAAGAAAATGTCTCAAGCAAACATGGCAAAATGTTTGTGACTTGAATCTAAGTGGTAGATCCTTCTTTGTCTTTAAGACTTCATGTATTTTTCAGAATAATCTTTTGTTTCTTTTAAGTAGATCTGAGATGACAAGATTATATTCCTAGGAAAACTACATAACTTTCCAACAGTTTATTCAGTGAGAGTAGAGGTGGGGAAGTAAGAATTTGTCTCAGGGATGAAAGAAAGTCAAGTTCCTTCACACAGAGAAATGCTGGCACATTTGCTCTTGAAAAACTCCCGCTTATCCAGAGCGAAAGGAAATAAGAACACACTGAGAGTCAGGACATAAGTCAAACAGGGGTAATCATCTAACTTACTTGTCTCTGTGATTATATTTCTCTGCAAACAAAGTGTTAGATCTTTCTTCAAAACACACAAATTAAACAACTTGATGTGGCCTTGCAAGTTAAAAACCCACAAAGAATAATGGATGTCCCAGAATATGTCTGGAGTACCCTGCATTTCAGAGAAACAACACTGGCCCTTGGGCTGTTCAGATGAGATCCTCCTTTCTCCACAGAGTGAATGTCTTATGGGAAGGCACTCACTCTGCCCATCTCACGCAGCTTGGTGAGCATCACAACGATGGTGGAATTGTGCTCCCAGAGCATCCGCCAGAAGTCTTCAGTGGTCTCTGCCAAGGGCCCCTGGGTAGCAATGTAGGCTTTCTGTTGTCTGAATCACAGAGAATTAAAATATCATGTTTAAGTAATCAGAAAACAAGCAAAGGTTCACAACTGATATATAAACATGAAACCCCATAATAGAAAATGAAAACGTACTCTTAATGCAATTGCAGTAAGTTTCCATTAAGACTGTGTGACCAAATAAGAACATTTAATACATTTTTGGGATTTCGCTAAAGAAATTGCTTAGTTAATATTATGCTGTGTATCTTTATCATTATTATTTAAATGTTCATGCAATGATAATAGCTCAATTTTATATGTCATACAAATCATTTAACAAACAATTATGTGGGTTCATTTTGTAGAAATGATTCTTACACAATCTATTAAATGCATGAAATATGGTACAAAGTTAGCTCTTTTGTTAACTCCTTCCACATCCAAACAGCTTCTGAAAGAAGTGTTTAGAAGGCCAGATTAAAAATTTCATGACTACTTCTTACTCCTATTCAAAATAATAAAAAGCAAATTCTAAGGGACTGAATGCTGACCTATGCAGAAAGAAAATGCTTTGAATTGAGATGAAATTCATTCTGTCTATGAAACTAGGGCACATGTAAATATCAAGGCTTTGGACTGTTAGGGGAACAAGAGTATATACCTGTATCCATCAATAAAACTGGCATTGATGTAATCAGATCCTTCCACTCCTCGGATCGGCTGCAGGCATACCCTTGTGGATTCATATGGCATAATATTAACAAGGCGATTTTTGAATTTATTACATGGAAGATTGGCACTGATGAATCTTGAGGTGTGAGCTTTAGAGCTGGCTAGACGCTGTTGAATAGAAAAAAAAAGTAAAACAAAACAAAGATGATTTTAACCTATGGTTTGAATACATCATGCCCGAGATTTTCTCTTTAGATATAAAGTTTTCATTTACGATAAAGCAAATCATTTTTCAAACTGTACTGCTTTTCACTTCTACCTAATGACTCCATATAGCCTACTGAATTTTTAAGTATTATGTTCTGAGAGTATGATCTCTCAGTTTAAATTAAGGTACAAGAGAGTTCAAGGTATTGTTAGAAAGGCAGAGAACAGAAATGGGAAAGAGGAAGAGTATTTTATAGTCAGACACCTGAGAAGGTCAAGTGAATCTTGTAATTTCGCAAATCTGAAAGATGAAGACAGTGAAGCCACTACTCAAAGACAATTCCCGAATGACTTGCTCCTGACTTACCACATCATATCCAACGTCATACCTTAAATTCAAGCTCCATTCCTGTGACATTCTCTCCTGTTTCTATTTGTGTCAGCTTCTGAATGTAGGCATACAAGTTTCTAGCTGGCACTTCGGTATTTCCACAAGTCACTGCTTCTAACAGTGCATCGTGGATAAAGATGTACTGGTCTTCTGTTTGAACCATATAATTCCTCTGGGCTCTCATTAAAGTTACATGGCCATAAATATCTACAGTTTTTTCATGCTTTATTCTTTCTAACATGGCATCTATTACGATGAAACAACCAGTTCGGCCAACTCCCGCACTACACGGAAAACAAAGAGAAAAGTAAAGTCCAAATAAATCTATCAGGAAACCAAAACATAATAAAATTATTTTCATTATCCTTACTAAATAGGTTTCAAACTCATTAATTCTACTCAAATAGCTGTTGTGATGATTTGGGAGTACTCTAAAGTCAAAAGTCTTATCAAGTTACCATAACCAGAGGGTAGGGAATAAAATATAAAGAAAAATTAGTTTGGTTTCAAAATGTAAAAATATTAAATCCATGCTCTTGGATCATGTAACACAAGATGGACATTATTTTGAGGATACTAAGGAAAAAAAACCCACAGGCTTTGTTTATATTAGAAGACATAAAAAAAAACTGCTCAAGATATGATTAGGCTATATATTTTTTGCAAACCATCTTAGACTATTTTCATTTGGTTTACAAAAACAAAAACAAAATATAAATCACTCAAGTTGAAACGTTTCATACTCTAAAACTCAGCAACTAAGTTCTAAACCCAACCTAGTGAGAAGTATATAATTAAAATATTAAAATGTCATTGCACACTAAAAACAGTGCAGGGTATTCTCAGTGGAAAGAAATTCTTAATAAAATGCAATCACTAGAGAGTGTGGGTGTGTTTCTTGGTTTTACTCCCTTTTCTTCCACAGTTGAAAGTATTTTGGAATTCCAGATGAAATTCAAGTATTTTGTGTGGGAAAATAAAAGCCTCAATCTTCGTTATTGAAGAAGCTCTGAGGCATTTTTTAAACTCCATTACTCCTGGACTTATGGGTCATTTTCCAGTTGGTGGAAACCAATTCAATGAAAAGGAGGTGAGCGAATCATCAAAGCAGAAAGACAAGATCTGTTGTTCCAAGAAGACAATCTAATTTATTAAACTGGATTACTGAGTCAGATACTTTGGAATGCCCAACATTGGGCTTTCCTTAAGCGTTGAATAGAATACTAACAAAATAACACATCCGTGTTCTTAAATCTCAAGGTTAGCTTGGTTTGCCTCATTTTTATCAAACCCTTTAGTCTGAGTCCAGTTCATGTGTTAAGTATGGTTGAATCCAACATGCTTTTCTCCTTCTGATCATGGATGTTAGCCTGGGTGGGAAACATGTAATTAATGGGAATAGATATATATCACCATATTCAGACACCAAGGGACAACCTCCTTCATTAGCTAAATGTCACTGCTTCCTGTCACTTGTATGTCTATGTGTTCATTTATTTGTCCATCTATTCATCAATGTATCCATCTCATCATTCAATGAATAATGAAGTACTTTGGTAAGTAACATAGGGGATGCAATATTAAAGGTGATTTAGATCCTACTTTTAAAGCTCAGTGTCTATCAATGGAGATAATACTTACACAACTAATACAAGACAAAAAAAAGGATGTGCTGTTTTTGTGCAAGAGGTAGCATTTGAATAAGCACTTGAAGGACCGAAGAAAAGAAAAAACGTACAGTAAAAGAAAAGGAATGGCCTCTGCAATCATACTGCTGGCTCTGAGAGCTACACGTGAAACTTCATAGGTCTAGTGAGGCTTTTGTGCAAAGAATGTACCAGAACTCCAAATGAATGAGTTTAATGAGCACTAGGGTGCCTGACTCAACTGAAATGGCAATTTCACTCTATTCCTTTCTCTGTTTCTTTACACGTGGCTGCAAGGTGGTCAATGAGCATTAATGAACAATACCTTTCTTTACTACTGAGTAGTACAGATCAAATCCAGCTTCCTTGCAGGAATCCTGAAGTTTGAGGTTTACAGACTAGGTGAAGTGGACATGCTATAACCACTATTTACAAATTTCTTACTTTTTTATGACCTCTCAGACATAAGAAATGGCTGTCAGTAGTCTGGATACCTCTGGATACCGATTTTATGACTACATTTAAGGTCTAAACCACAAAGTTACACGACACTGAGATGTAATGCAAAAGCCTTCTGGGACAAAGAGTCTTAGAAATGATTACACATTCTTAGCACAAAATAATTAGAAACCCAAGACCTGAGATCTACGAAGTCCCATTCTATTTAGTTCATTCTATGAAATAAACCGGTGACATGGCCAGTTTTCCCTAACACTCCTCAACTCCTCCCTCCCTCACCCCAGGAAGGATTAACCACCCTCTGTCCCAGATTACTTGAGGGGTGTTTTAAATACCACTCTACTGCAGCACCTGTCACATCACACTGCTGGTTGGTCTGGTAGGGCCGCTTTCCATAAATACAAGAGCATGTCTCAGGGGCAGCAACCGTATGCTCTGCTATCTGTGTGTTGCCTGCACACTGGACATGTAGTCAGTGTTCAGCAATGTTTGTGAAATACATGAGTGGTTTGGTGATTGGCATGGGAAGCCTCATGTAATGAGCAGCCCATCCAGGCTGAGTAAACCTACTGAGGATCAGGATTCTCAAGTTGTGAAATAAATCCTCCATAGGATGAAGGTTCAGACTGCAGAGGATTGCCCCACAAAGGTTTTGACAGGGAAGAGGGCGATGGGAAAATGCTTTGAGCAGACCCCATGTCTTGGTCTCCTGACATGCCATCACATTGCAATCAAGAGAAAGTAAGACTTAACCTGGAAAAAGCAGGCAAGCCACAGGTTTGGCAGGTTAAGTCTATGAGTAATATGTTTTTTTTTTCTGTGTTGCCTTTCTATGTTGTTTTCAGTTTAACCATGCATTGTTTCTAACTAGATACAACTTCATGCCATCCTTCCTGGGGGGAACCACACTGAAAGCTTTATAACTGGACCCTGCATATCAAGCCAATTCTAAATAATGGCAAGAATGCTTTCTCAAAATATGCATCAGGGACCATTCAAATGTCTGGATGATGCATAGTTCTATATTCCTGCAGAAATATACCACAGGAACCTTTGCAAAATTGGTAGGAATAACTCCAGCTCCAACAATGTCAACCTCTTCATTGTGGTAATGGGTGAGGAAAAAAATCAAGTATGTGCATGAATCTAAAACATGCATTGTGGGAAGGAACAAAAGAGGCTATGAATTGTGCAAAAGCTATTTTTTTCTCCCCAAAACACAAAATATTGTTAACTGCCCAGTATTCCTGTCATATGGGTGACAGGGAAGGAGGTGACCCTTGGAACTGCAGTGCTACCTCTTCTCTGGGACGAAGCCTTCTTGAGGGCTTTAAACATTTTGTACCTTGAAGTAAGACCATGAGTTTTAAGATACTTTTTCCAGGACCCAGTGGGTGCCCTTGAAGAAGTCAACTTTTCCCTGTATTCCCAGTTTCCTTAAATCATGGGAGTGATAATTAACTCTAGTTAACTATCTAGTATGACTTCAGGCTGAATTAAAGGTACCAAGTGTTTTGCAAACATAAAGGAAAAGGCAGTTATTTGGTGGGTGCAAACTCGGTTTTAAAATTCTACCTCCGGAGCTGACGAGGAGGGACAGGCAACGCGAAGAGTGGGTGAATGGCAGAGCTCCCGAAGGACCATCTGACATCAGGCTTTCGAAGATCTGGCTTTCATGCGCCCCTCAGGCTACTCTCCCTTGTCTCCCTGTGTTTCTAATAAGGTGATACTTCACCCCACGTTAGAGTTACTTTCTGCCTCCACATATACTGTTGTGGTAAAGGAGACAGCAGGAAAGCTCAATCCCACCGCACTGCTTGGTTCCCTGGGAGGCAGTCAGCGAATGTCTGCACGGTGCCTTTCCCCTTCTGTGATTCACGACGCTTGGACTGCCTTGAGGTCATACGGCGAAGGGTAAACGGCCAAACAGGGACCCAAATGCAGGTTCTGAGGTGCTAAACTTTAGCACCCTGCCTCACGGCACCATGAAAGCTTCTCATTGCTTTCTGCCGTTTGAGTCAGCAACAATTGCCAGGTACAGAGACCTTGGGGCTGACCCCACTGTAAAGTACCTATGATAGTGTTTAACTGCCTCTAATGTCATTTCCTTGATTTCTACGACACTGACTGAGGGAGTTTGGGAGATGTCAGATACCCCCTTGAGATTGGTGGTAGAAAAGAGGAAATTTTATAATTATCTAAAAGACAAAAAAAAAAATAACCTGAAACATGTAGCACGTGGAATTAGCCAACGAGAACTGCGACTCATGTGCAGTGGTTCCGTGTCCTCCGTGACAGGGCAGAGCTCCTATCAGGTTGGAAACCCGTATCAAAGATAAACCCTAAACAGCATCTTCAGAAACCTCCCGCATCCCTTCAGATGGTGCCTCACTAAGTAATGTTCTGGTTTTTGTTTTTTTTTCTCATTTTTTTTCTGCTTGATTCCTGTGCTGATCATCCTCTTGCCTCTCTGGGTTTTTCCATCTGTATCTCTTTCTCTAATTTACATAACCACTGCCAGCCCCCCAAATGTGAATAATGTCCCCACAGTTCTGTACTCCTTTCTCTCATTCCCCTCGATGGGTTAACAAGAATCTTCAAAAAGAAAAGATGTCTGATGTGATAGCCCTTTTTTGGAGCATCAGGGGAGACCTACATTTCAAACTGTCCTTAAGTTTCTCTGGAAATGAATAGATTCCAAAATTAGTCAGCATCTTGACTGTTCAACTCTGCTCTTCCCACTCTCAGTCTCTTTCCTTGACATTCAGGTCTAAAATTTAACAGTCAGCTAGAACTATTTTTGCCTCTTATCCTACACAATAATAAATTAGAAACTTCTGTGCATTCAACCCATACAATTTTATTCAACTATTCATCAATGGTGTGCTGGAGCTGGTGAGAGCCAGCTGTTAAATTCTCAAAAATTTTGCTCAAATAAATACATTAAAAATAAAGATAATACTTAAAACACTTGCTTCCTAATTATTTCACATTTATACTCTTGAGGTGAAAATATTATATAATAGTATGTACTGAGTATTTCTCCCGAGCTTTGCACTCAGCGATGTCACATTTGTAGTTTGAAATGCGATGTTGTCAATGTACTTACATGAAGGAAAATAGCAACTACTACTTCCCCCTCCAGCCTTCCACCCTCCACCCCATTTATCCATTCCCAC